TGTCCCAGCAGGCCCCTTCTACATGCTCTGTGTCCCAGCAGGCCCCTGCTAGATGCTCTGTGTACCTACACACTGCATTTAGCTGGAGTCTATAAATTCTTTTTTTATTGCTTTGTTTTTTGAGACAGGGTTTCTCTGTGTAGCCCTGGCTATCTTGGAACTCACTCTGTAGACCAGGCTAGCCTTGAACTCAGAAATCCGCCTGCCTCTGCCTCCTACATGCTGGGATTAAAAGTATATGCCACTACTACTTTTTGTTTTTTAAGATGATAAACAAACTTGATTAATTCCACTGCAAAGCAACCAACAGCTAAACAGTGGGAGACAAACTGCCCACGGTTTATAAGTATCTAAGAATAAAGAATTTTTTGTAGGCCAAATCTTTTTGTGGGGTAACTCAGCAGGTAAAGGTGTTTGCCACTAATCCTAATGATCTCTGAGTTTGATCCCAAGGAACCAGGCAGTAAAGAAGAGAGCCAACTCCTGCAAGTTGTTCTCTCATCTCTGTACATGTACCGTAGCATGTGCATGCCTACACACACCTGCATGCGCACACAGTAAATGTTTTTTAAAAAAAAAGTAAGTTGCTTTTTAATGGAAGAAAATGGAAGGAGAAGAAAGAAGGGCCCTTTCCTCAGCCCACCCCGCTTGCTCCTCACCCGTGTGTTGTCCTCATAAAGCATGATAACAATCTGGGTCATGTAGTTGAGCTCTGAGATGGCACTAAGATAAGCCAAAGCTCGCTGCCACTGTGCATCCTGGGTCTCCTACCAAACACAAACAAAAGTAAGCCAGCGCCCAAGGACAGGTCAGGAGCGGGCTGGGAACGGAGGAGAATGGCAAAAGTTCACAGAAAGAAGGAGAACAGGAAGGACAGCCGATGACTGCGGGAGAAAAGAAACAAACAAAACCAACAACCAAATGAACAAACAAAAACCGCACACAGGTCTAAGGAAGGAAGATGCTTACATCAAGAAGTCCCCCATAACGGAAGACACTGAGTAGAGAGTGAACGTGGCTCTCACTGGTGAAATAAAGGCGAGTTCGAACATGGCGGCCTGGGGAGAGCACTCCACGAGAGTACCTGACATAAAGTTTAATCAAACACAGTCAGATAACCCTTTCCAGGCCTTCTGAAAACTCCCCCTCCCACCCAAAGGCTTCCCTCTTCTCCGTCCCAGATCCCTTTTTCTTCTTGCCTCTCCCACCTGTCTCACCCTTGGCCCCGCCGCGCCGGGGGGCGGGCCAGGGCTCCCAACATGTCCTCCCATCTTCCTGGCCTCCCTCCAGCCTCCTCCCAGC